CCTGGTTGAGAGCTACTGGTTGATACTGAAGTTTAAGTTCAGCTGAGTGCCACTCCATTAATTAGTTAATGACAACCACTAGCTGGATTTCTGACATCAGCCCTCATATGAGCAAGACTTTGCTAAGATCCAAAATTCCTTTGACCGATCAGAAGGTTCCCAGTGGACACAGTGTGACCAGATGGCCCTGAATTTAAGCCCCTTAAATTCCTTTCTTCACACTTGCCTGATAAGGTGACTTTTTATTCATCTTGGCGTAATAACAATGCAAGGACAATGAAGGAGTTGAAGGAGCCAACACTTTAATTGATTCTAAGGAAAGCAAGCATTATTTTTATAGGAACCCAGACAGAATATGCAAAACTTTCAGAACACTACTCTTGCCATGTCTTGGCAGTTTAGATCTCCCCTACTGAGCTCCTGAGAGACACTTTGCTGAATGAATCCCTTCTACCCTTCCCACTCTCACAAACATGCCTGCTTTCCTTCCATTCACTTTTTGCTGCCAGAAATTCGGGATACATCCATTTGCATATTTCCCATTTGACTCCTCCAAGGGAAAGGGATGCTTCATCAGCAGGAGTCTTCCTGTCCTGCGCACTGCTGTACCCTTAGCATCCGGCACTCCCCTTACCCGGTCTCTGCGTGGCCCAAAGCTGTCCATTTAATAAGCAAAGCAATACATGGATTTGTATAGACACACTTTGTAAAGTATTACATGCCTTTGCCATTCACTGCTCATTTTCTACATCAGCTTTGCTGCCAATCCTCATGGCCCCAGCAACATCTTTAAGTAATGTGAATGTTACTCTCTCCTATCCCCCCAGCTAACTGATCAAAGAAATTCAAGTACCTGGTTACTTTTGAAAACTGAGCAGTCAGCTTTCCTCTTGATGCCCTTGATCTTCAGGTCCTGAGAGGGATCTCAATGTAAATGAAGGTCTATTCCCTTCCAAGTGGGGCCCACTTCATAAATACACAGATTGACAAATCTTTACTCTACAAAAGAGCTCCTTTATTACAACTCCCCAGGTATCTGCATGTTTGAGCAGAAGCCATTAACTAATTGACAGAGAAGCTGTTGGGTAGGGGTGGGGCGGAGGAGCTAAAATTAAATGACAAGAGGCCATGCCAATTGGAGTGCATTCAGGAATGATAAACCCTCTGAGGCTCAATGAGAAAGAAAATCAAACAAGCATTCAAATTTATCAAAACACCTTGGTGTGTGCAGAAATGTTTCCTCTTTTGTTGGTCTAAAATAAATGTTCTAGTTAGTCTACCGCAGCAGCCATTTTACCCACAAGTCTTGTGGTAACCTTTGCAAAGTACTCTGTCTGTCTGTCTGTCAGTCTACCCATCAGCCCATCACCCACCTCCACCTACGCAACTAAGGAAATGTGTGGCTACTTGTGCAGTTCATTCTGTCTCTCTGTCTCTCTGTGGGGCTTGGGTTGCAAATCTCAAGCCTCACCCCAGCATTAACAAAATTTTCTACAAGTCAAGGCAGTTTTATTTTCCGACAAAAGGAAATAGAAGTTACAAAGAGAGATTTGACATCACGTGGCCCTGAGTTTTACACCCGTCAATGCTATGTGCCTCCTGTGTTACTGTGGGCAAGTTATGTAACCTTTCTGATCCATAAGCTCCTCATTAGAAAACTGAGTCTATAAGAACACCTATGTGATTGGGGCATCTGAGGATTGAATGGGAAAAGCCAACTTTTGGTAAATGAGAAGTGGTATTGAGGGTGAGGATAATGATAACACCAAGTAAATGCAAACTCTTTTCAAACTTTGAAGTTTTTTTTTCCTCTTTCCTTCATTTGTAGGTCACCCGGTAACCACCATCTGGAGACCAAAGAAGACGCCCCACTGTGAGTTGGGGCTTCCTTGCTACATCCCCAGGGGCAGCCTGCTGTAGGAAAGCTGACCTTGGAGATTTAAACCTTGCTCTGCTTCCTCATTCTATTAATCTGGCCATTAAGCAGAGAGAGTCCTGCAGATACCAACAGATGCAAAGCTCCACTGTGCTAATGGCAGACAGCATTAGGAGAGTCCTCAGCAGCCAACCAATCCATCTCCCCCAACTCAGAACAGCTGCACTCAGACAAATTAACAGAGCAGTGGGTGAGGAGTGATGCAGTTAATACTAGGGTGAGCTGGTGCATGAGAGTGGGCCCTGGGTGCCCAGGGTCCCATGCAGGCTGGGGCAAGCAAGCTAGGACAGTTCGCAGTGACATCCAGCAGGCAAGCCCACCTGTGACCCCCAGTGCTCACGTGCAATGTCGCTTCTGCAGTGTGGGTTCTTGCAAGCTCGGCCACATCTGCCACCTTGCTCACAGCATATGGGTAACATTTTGGGGCACCACTTTCTGCCAGGAAACCTTTCCCTATCCCTCTTGTCTGACCTGCCTGCAGGCAGCTGAACAGGATCCCACTGGTCACTCCACAGCAAGCTAAGGCCCAGTCTGAACTCAGATCTGGCCACATGCTTTTGCCAACAGTCACACAAAGAACATTTGCACTTTGGTTGGGTTCCAGCATCCCTTCAGCATGGGAAATGAGAACCAGGGAAAGACAACAGTGTCCCACAGCTCCCCAAAGACTAGGAACCAGATGAGACCAAGGGAGCGTTGTCTGCAGACAAATTGAGTCATTTCCCCAAAGGCATGGCACGGATGCGGAAAGTGTGCCTCGTGCCACCGCTGGCTATGGATGGAGGCCGAGATCCCATGGGCCAACAGATGGAGCTTTAGGAGCAGTCATTGTGCAGGGCAAGCTATCACCCTTATAATGAGCAGGCCAAAGCCATGGGCATGTGACTGCTTTTTCCCATGGAGGCTTGAAAGGACTGGCAGGGTTTATCCAGAGTGAAGGATACAGGAAGGTCAGGGACAGAATCAGCCTGGGAGGCAGCTGCTCCATCCAGAGGATAAGGCTTGATTTCCAGGGTTCTGGACACAGACTGCTTGCCCCTGGGTTTTCCTGAGCCTAGTCAGTCTTCTGGGGAACGTTGATCAAGATATAAAGAGCCACCATTTACACATGCACCTTGAAAGTTCTCTCATGGTCCTTTGGGTAAGACAGGGTCAGGGGTGAAGGCAAACATTTTCCAAAGTGCAGCACACAAACCTCTGGGGTACATTCAGATGACTTGAGATAGCACCCAGAGGATCATTTTTACAGTTTAATCTTTATTTTAATGCTTTGCCCCTCCCCAAATGTAACTAGCACTTTTAACCCCTGATTTCACTGATGTGATTGCTTGAAACAGTGGTTTTCTACCTTGACACCAAGGCATTCTGGGTAGATAATTCTTTCCTTGGAGGGCTGGTCCATGTATCTGGGATGCTGAGCAGCAACCTTGGTTTCTGGGAAGAGACCAACCAAACCCGCTACAACCAAACAAGATGACAAAACTGCCTTCAGACATTGCTAAACATCCTCTGGGGGTCAAAATCACCCCTGGTTGAGAACCATTAGCTTGGGGTAGTCTGCTTCTTAAAGTACACTGAGTGCAGTTAGGGAAAAATGTATTTTTAGGTAACTTGAAAAACAGATGAAATTGACATGTGGAAACAACGGCAAAGGGGTGTGTGACCAATGGGCCAACGCACAAAACCAGACCAGAGGACCGCCCGGCAGGCAGAGGAAACTGGGTCCTCCTTCCTCTCAGCCACACCCTCTGTTCTGCTGAGCCAGGTTCAGAGCCTGGTCATCCCTGGGCCCGATGTATGTACCTGTGTGCTGGGGAACAAGAGGATAGGTAAGCATGAAGAAACCCTGAAGACTGGCTGTTCCTACAACTTCTGACCTTTCTGATATTCTGGCCACTGTGAAGTGGGATGGGTTTGTTCCTCACCTCATTCCTCTTGGGAAGACCCCAGCAGAGATGCCAGGGAGAGACAAGGACCCAAGGAGCAGGGTAGGGGAAAAAGGAGGCAGGCGGTCTTTGCCAGCACACCCTAGAAATCTCAGAGGAGCTGTTATTCAGCCTTGAAATGCTGTAATGGCTTTGAGTACATTGGACACTTGAAAAGTGCTCACTCTGGGGCACTGAAGGGGTCCATCCTATCTTTCTTTCTCTTTACTGCCTGATCAACTCACAGACAGAGATAAGGAGATGATCTACCCAGATACATCCCCTTCATATCCAGCAGGAAAGGCAACCATCCTGCAGTTTAAAAACTAACACTCACAAGCACTTAGGGTGCACCCCTGATTTTAAAGACATAATTTTCTATAGACATCATTTCCTGTGATTCTCACCGCAGCCCTGCAGGGAAGGGGCACCGTCACTGTGGCAATATTCCTGCTGGGAAGAGAGCAGGTTAAGTGGACCTACCGATGTTGCAGGACTGGAAGACACAGAACTGGATTCTACCTGGGCTCCCTGGATGCTAAGGGAAGCACTGATAGTTGCTGCACTGTCCCATCCCCCAGAAGAGCAGAAAGCAGACATACGGGCATGCTATCCTCACTGGTCCCACGGGTCATCATCCCCACGGGGAAACACCATTACCTATGGGAGCAGACAGAAAGCTGCAACTTCCTGCCTGGCAGTTGGGTCCTGCTGCCTGAACTGCCAAGAAGTAAAGTCCTCCAAGTTCAAAAACGTGACACAGCAACATCTTCCCTCTTCATCACTCCTTTCTATCTCATCTTTCCCTTTGCATTTACCTCCTTGTGACTGCTGGGCAGGAGCAAAGGATAGAGGGCAACTCCAAAGAAATGGTTATGGTTCTTGCCCCAGGTGAGTGATGCATTCATGTACATGGACATACACACCCATACTGTTACACACACATGTATATGCTCAGCCAGAGTGTGTGCACACACGTATGTACACCCACACACCCAGATGGGGCAGGGAGACAGCCTTAACATGCCTGTGCAGCCCTTCTGAGCTAGGAGGTGCAGAAAATGCACAATCCCTGGAGACCTGGTCCTAGAGCACCAAGGTGCAGATCGGTGACAAAGAATATGGGAAGAAGTACTCACCTGCGTCTCTGATGTGATCAGTGGACTTGGATGTGGATCCTGAGGGGGAAAAAAGGAGAAAACACATGTAAGTGTCCAGGAAAAAGTTAACTTACAAGCATGGGTTTCAAACAGAGCTTGGTTTTCCTAGTGCTCAAGCTCTGGGATGGAAGGCAGCCCCACAGCTTCCCAAGCTACAGGATGTCAGAATAAGAACAGCTTGGCCCGGTCTGCTCCTTCTCCATCTCCAACATTTTTTCCCACACCCAGAAGGTAAAAGAAGCCTAAGTGCACACACCCTTAAGGCAGAGGACAGAAAACAAGGAAGTGCAAAAAACCCCCAAAAAGCATTGTCCCCAAATATCTCCCAAAGTGTTCAGTTACTCAGTAGGAAGGAGAAGTTGGGTCCTTAAGAGGATTAGAAATAAACCTGCAAGAATACAAAGGCCTGATTCAGCGTAAGGCTGTCGGATTGAGTCTGATCTTGAGAAGAATGAGGGGAGAAATGAGAAGGAGAGAGAAAAAGAAGAGTTTAATTCCTGGTGTGAGCAGCACATTCCAAAGAGCCCAGGAAGATCCTTTCAGGCCAGAGAAGGCCAGAGAAACATCCTATTCATTCACTCTCCACAAAAGCCAATTGACTGGGAATGCTGGGTGGTAATGTCTCGGGTCATTAAGCATGAACGCTTTGGGTTGAGGAGGGACAGGGTAGGGACAGAAGAAGGAAGAGACTGATGCTGGGAGGTAGTGGTGTTCAGTGAGTGGTTTCCAAGGAAAACAGGAAATCCAGCACATAAAGGCTATTTTTGTTTGCCCTGTGTCTACTCCCAACTTGGGTTCATGATTCCAGCCAAACAACTGGGAGCTGCCGCTTGTGAAGAATGGGCATGATTTTAGGGCCCTGAAGCAGAAATACATTTTGAAGCTTAGTTTTATCCTTGCAGATTTTCTAAGACAGGTTTTATAGGAGTCATGCAAATTAGCACCAGCCCACTGGCCTACATCATGCACAAGACAGAAGCAAAAGGATTCTAAACTCCTGCTGTAGGTGACCTGCCACTTGCTTTCTTGATCCCTGTTCTGTACCATCAATATCATGACGCATAAAAGGTGTGATTTCAGGCACATTTTGAACTCTGGTCAGTGCTGACCTTTCTTTTTAAGATGAAGAATTCGTCTTGACACAGTCATGACATAGTCAGGGACTACCACAGGGATGGAGACAGGCAGAGTCCCGGCCCTTACCTGCCACTCCTTAAAAGCACAATTTATGTTTTCTTCTGTGACAGTCAGGGACTTAAAATCCATTTTTGCTAAAAACTATCTCTTCACTCCAGCCTAAAGACGCCCTGTAGGTAACTATAAGCAGAATAAGCTTGACCCTCATTTTATATCGTTGGTTACTGCAAACCCAGGACAACTCCCTTCTCAGCTCTACACAGGGCTATGTTGATCATTTAGGGAGTATCTGTCTAGAAGCTGGCCAGACAGGGGTGATAAGCCCTGAACTGACATGATCTCATCCACCTTCAAGACTGAGGACACCATGGTGAGAAGTTTACATGGATGTTCAACTATGCCCAGAAGTCTCTGGTCATTGTTCTAAACCTATGATCGCTTGGATTCCAGGAAAAGCAGAGCCCCGCATGAATGAAACCACCACTAACAGAGAAAATCCTTTCAAGGGAATGGAACCAACCCTCAGCCGCTTATAGCTATAAAACCAGGACTGAGATAACAATCAACTAGACTCCAGCGCACTGCACCAGCTGACCCTTAAAAATTGGCCTCCCACATTCTGAGTGGGCCAGTCTGAAGCCCTGTATCAGAGTATATCCCCTCCAGCTATTCAAGCTGGAGTCTTTTCCAATCTTTCTTCTAACTTTGCAATTAAAGCTTTTTCCTATACATTTGTGCTTAGTTTTAATTTCCATTTTTACTAAAGCAAGGACCCACACTAGCTGGCAACAGTCTTCCCCCAGTTCTAGCTGTGAGTCCAATCCTTAGCACTTCTGCACAGGTATTGCTCCAAGGAATTTGCCAGAGAACACCTCACTCATTTTCACACTCCCCAGGCACCGAACAGTCATCAGACCCAGGAAAATTTTGAGGGGAAATATTTTTTAGCTCTCTTTCCTTATCACACATTGGCCCCAAAAGAACCTGGAGAAGTCTGGAAGGAAACAGCTCAAGGCTCTCTCTTTAAGCCCTCACCACTTCCTCCACAAAGATGAAGTGGTGCCTGTGATCAGTGAGAAGCCCACTTTTGGGGGCGTGCGCACACTGGCTGTTTCAGCCATCCTTCCTGGGACACCCTTGTGCTAGTCAGCTTTTCATTGCTGTGACCAAGTACCAGAAAAAAACAACTTACAGGAGAAAAGACTTATTTGGTCTCATGGTTTCAGAGGTTTCAGTCCATGGTCAGCTGGCTCCATTATTTTAAGACTGTAATGAGGCAGAACATCATTTCTCAAGTGGCGAAGAAAAGCTGCTCACTTCGCGGTAATCAGGAAGAAGAGGGAGTAAGAGAGACATAGAGGAAGAGCTGGGGAACAGATAAAGTCCCCAGGGTCATGCCCCCATAATCAGCTTCCCTCAACTACACCCCTCCTGTTTCTTCATGTCCCAATAACGCCATCAAATTATGATCTCATCAGTGAATTAAAGTGCTGATGATGTTCGAGCCCTCATGATCTCATCACCTTTCAAAGGCTTCACCTCTGAACACACGTCTTTGGGGGACATTTTGGATCAAAACCACAACATCTCCTTCTAACCAGCTCCTTCATCACTCGTGTGCAAAAAGAGTTAACCTTGGACTTCCCAGTTCCCTGTGTTAACCAAGCACAATGGCAGGGTCCAGTTTTATCTTTGGGAAACAAGATCATCCTTCTGCTCTGTGGCTGGCACTGTGTCAGACCTTGTGCATGCTGCTTAGTGAGTGAGAACACGCAGCCTCTGCTCTTCAGGTCACTACCATTCTATGTCTATCTGTCCATCTGTCTGTCCACTTCAGATCCCACCATTTAGATTTTTTTTTTTTTTTTGGTTTTTCTCCGGTACCGGGAACCGAACTCACGACCTTGCGCTTGCCAGGCAGGTGCTTTTGCCGCTGAGCTAAATCCCCAGCCCCCCCACCATTTAGATTTTGATTAGAAAATAAGAAGCTGCATCTAGCCTTAAAATTAGCCTAATTCTCATAGCCAAATCCTAGCAAAGTACTGCAGTGGGGTGTTGGGTGCCTGCCCAGATTAATTAAGCTGTTCTTCACAGCCCATTTGGCTATTGTTTGGGGCTTATGCTTCATTGCTCAGAATCCCAGGATGGTGAAGAGGGGTGGAAGGCCTTCCTGAAACCCTAAGAGCAACTTCACTGGAAAAGACCTTCCTTGGAAATACCTGTCAACTGTATTGACAAAACAAAGAGCCTGGTCCCTGTACATTATGAAGCACCAGCTCTTTATTTTGTATTCCAAGATCACAGATCCTACTGGGTCATGGTCAGGGGTCCAAGATTTACTAAAAAGCTTCTAGAAGACAAAAGAACATGAGCTACCTATTTAGCATCTTAATTAACCAGCCAAGAAGAGGATAAAGTAGCCACAAGGGGCCATGTCGTTAACACTTAGGATTCACCTGCCAACAAAATTTTGTTCTCCTCTCTCTGAGCACACTGATAATGTAAGACTCTCCCTAAAGAGGCTCAGTCCAGAGGATTCAAGGTATGACTATATATCTGTGAGGTTTCACTTTCAACAACATCCTCCTTAATTGGAAAGGCTAACGAAGTGGAACTGGGTCAATGATGCTGTCTGCCTAATCCATCGTGTCTGTCTAAATTGGGACTCTTTGGTTTACAGTAGAGTAAATTCCTGTCTGTCAGAGAGAAGGCTCCTGGAGACCAGAGGGGAATTTGCAGCATGCCTGCCTGCTCCGCTGGAGTGCGTTCAGAATCCTAATGTTGGTGCCAAGAACCTTGGAACCTCTGAATGCAAGGGAAACCTTTCAGATCATTTGCAGTGACCAAGTTGGGGATATCAAATGGGGAACCAGGGAGACTGAACTAGTGGTCCTCCTAGAGCCATCCCCTCTGGTCATGTGACTTTGTAGTCCTTTAGCTGTGCTTCTCTACCACTTTTCAGCCTGTGGCTTGCCAATGGGAGGCTAGCAGAAAGTGACTTAAGTAGAAGTTCAAAATACACTTGAGCAAGACCTTTGTGGTTTTGCCATCAGGAGAACATGACCAGGTGAGCTGCTGGTCCAGAGAATGACAGTCATGTGAAACACACCTGGAATCAACTTATAGCTTGGATCTAAATCCAGCCTAGATCAGTGCACTCCAGCCAATCTTCAGCAGAGAAAACACAAGCCTAATGTTTCAACACACTGAGTTTGGGGTCACTTGTTATCCAGCATTATTGTGACAATAACTTAATATGCTCTCCAAAGACTGATCTTGAGAGAACCAAAAACTAATATTGTTACAAACCTGCACAGCCATGGAAGGAAAACAAACCAAAAAATGTCTGCAAATACACCTCAGGAAGCTGAAGTAACTATAACCAGTAGCTATTATTTATCAGGGGCGAGGCTCTATCTGCACCATTATATCAAGCAAAGACACACTTGACTGTGAGGATCTATTTATTTATTTATTTTTGTCTTTCTGAGACAGGGTCTCGCTATGCAGTTCAGGTTGACCGTGAGCTCACTTTGTAGTCCAGGCTGGTCTCGAACTCGCGATGATCCTCCTGCCTCAGCTTCCCAAGTGCTAGAATTACAGGCGTGCGCCACCAAGCCCAGCGACTGTGAGGATCTAGGACCACCACTGAGCTAACCTCCAGCCCCCTTTGCCAAATATAGTAGTCCCTTTGAATTTGTAATTTAGATGCCATTGCAACAACATTGAAGGAGATGATTACTCAGAAGCCTTCTACCCTGAGATATAAACTCTTCTAATTTCTCTGACTTACTCTTAACTATATTCTATGCATGTATTACTTGACCAAAGCTTGAAACTGTTGAAAAATATAGCTTGACTACCTCTCATTCAAAATAACT